CTGTAAAGACTTTGGCTCCATGGCGATTGAACTGTATTCGTGTAGTCTGAGTGCCATTCACCTAATAATGTGCACTCAGACCTTAGCTATCTGGGGATATGTTACATGTCTGTGGTTTAATGTAGTAAATGTTACTTTGTGCATTTTAAAGTATAATGCTGTTTTGTGTTCCCACGTGTGTAATGGAGTTTTGCCTTTGTCTTGGGAGATAGTTGAATTACTTCCCAATTATCTCCCAGGGCAGAGGGGAGGAAGCCAGGATGCATTGTGGGAATATACTGTGACTGTGCGTCCTTTTTGTATACTTGTCTGTCCCTTGTCACAGTCTCCCATTTGGTCCCCTAGGGGAGTGTCCACCAGGTGGGAGACCTGCATAAAAGCTGGGCAGGTAGCCCTCATTAAACAGAACACTGCTTGACCCTCAACACGGAGCCTTGTCTCGTTCTTGGGGGGATTCACTGTATGCTGTTAGAGACTGATTGCCAGGAGTGTAAGCTGTTGTCTGCTTTTCCTGTTCGTCTGCTAGCAGCTATTTGGGAGGTTCCAGTTTGGGAGTTGGAGTGCTATTTTGTATCCAGTTCGGGAGTTTGGTGTTCTGCAGTAGCTGTGCCTGTATCTCTGGAAAGGGGGCCGATCGCCTAAACGGTTTTTACCCCTTGTGTGCAAAACGGTCCGTTACACCAACCATTTGGGACCAAATCCTAATTTACGCAGGGTGGCAGTCAGTAGTGTCCAGTCCACTCCATCGAACGCCCTCTCCGCGTCGATTGAGAGCAGAAGGCTCTCCGTTGGCAGGCGTTTTGCCAAATATATCAAATTTAAGATTTTTGTGGTGTTGTGTTTAGCTTCCCTGTTGGGAACGAAGCCCGCTTGGTCGGGGTGTATCAAGGTTTGGAGTAAAGGTTTCAAGCGGGTGGCCAATATTTTTGTAAACAATTTCACATCAAGATTTATCAGAGATATTGGGCGGTAGCTACCGCAATTGGACGGGTCTTTGCCCGGCTTGGGTATGAGGGCTATGTGTGCCTCCAAAGGGAGTGGGAAAATGTTCTGTAGTATTTGGCCGTGAAGCCGTCTGGTCCTGGGCTCTTCCCCAGTTTGAGGTGTCGTATAGCAAAATTGACTTCGTCTGAAGTTATAGGTGCATCAAGCGTCAGAAGAACATTTGCGGGGATAGTCTGGTGGACCCTGGAAGCCAAGAAGCATTCAATGTCCTGTGTTGGTGGGGGGGAGTCCCTCAGATTGTAAAGCCTGGTGTAGAAGTCTTGGAAAGCTGATAGTATGTCTGGGAGTTTATGTGATATGGCTCCAGAGGGAGTTCTAATTTTGGATATGAAGGTCGACTGCCTCTGTTGTTTTAGAGAGTTAGCTAGTAGGCATCCACATTTGCCTCCATGTGCATAATAGGAGTGTTTTGTCAGCATGAGTGTGCGTTTGATTTTGGCGTTTAGTAAGTCCTGTAGGGCAGATCTTTTAGCTGTGAGGTCTTTGTAAGTGTCTAGTCGCGTGTCCGTTTTGTGTCTGATTTCTAGTTTCCGTATGTCCTCTGTGAGTGTTCGAATGGAGGCTTCCCGTATCTTTTTGTGTCTTGCTGCCAGTGCTATTATTTCTCCTCTCAGCACACATTTGTGCGCTTCCCACGTGAGAGGTGGGGGTGAGGATGGGGTAGCATTGATGGTGAAATAGTTGTCTATAGAGTCTCTAAGCTGCGAGACAATCTCTGGGTTATTTAGAAGGAGGTCGTTAAGTTTCCATTGAAATAATTTTTGTGGGATGGTGGGTATTTGTATGACTAGTACCAGGGGCACGTGGTCTGACCACGTGATGGAGCCATATCCTGAGGATTGGATTAGGTGTAGGAATCTGTGTTGTATGAAGAACATATCCAGTCTAGAGTACACGTGTGATGTGGGCGAGAAGAACGAGAAGTCCTTAGTCGATGGATGTATAGTGCGCCAGCAGTCGTATAGTTGTCTGCTATCAAGTAGTTTGGCCATCCGTGTACGTGCTGATGTTTGATAGTCGGTGGCTCGGGACGTGGTGTCTAGGCGACAGTCTAGTGATAGATTAAGGTCACCACCAAGGATTAGAATACCCTCGGTGAATTGTTCTATGGCTTTAAGTTGTTTATTGAACACCTTGCATTGAAGTTTGTTGGGGAGATATGTGTTTACAAGCGTGACCGTGGTCTGACCTATTTGGCCTTTGACCATGAGCAACCTCCCTGTGTCGTCAGACTTATGGGAGATGTACGTGAAGGGCACATGGGCAGAGAGTAAGATTGCTACTCCTCTCGCCTTAGTGTCAGTGAAATCGCTAAAATAGCTGGTGGGGTACCGTCTGTTTTTGAGGGTGGGGGCTGCCCCTTTCTTGAAGTGGGTCTCTTGCAGGAAAGCTATGTCTGCCTTGAGCGTATGTAGTTCATTGAGAGCCATGGAGCGCTTTTCAAGGGTGTTGAGGCCCCTGACGTTAAGTGTTATGATGCGAATGTTGGCCATTAGGGTGAGTGAACGTGTCTCTTATCTGACTTCGGTCGCTCAAACCGTGTGTGGTAATTGCCACTAGGTGAAGGGGGGGATGCACGGAGCTTTAGGGAAGGAGAGAGGAGGGGGACGGCACTTATATACCGTAACTATGTACAATGGGGAATGCTGACCGTCTGCGTTGTCCGCCTGTGCTATGTGTGTGTGGCAATGCACAGGCGGTCCTGTAGACGGTAGGGGGCTTCCGTGGGTGACGTACCTAAGGTGGTTAAGTCTGACCACCTGGGTACTTGGGGTTCACCCTGGAAAGGTCACACAGACCTTTGTTAGGAGCCGATTGTTCTGCCTACCTGTCGTGTTATGGGCAGGCAATGATAGGAACCGTCCGGTTCCCTGTGTGGGTGTGAGGTGGGGTTGGTACTGCGCGGTGTGTTGTCTTGGGAGCCAATCCATTGATTTAAATTCGGATGGAAAGGTATTGGGCAGCGACTTTGAGTGGGACTTTTGCTGCTAGTGCTGTCACCCTGCCACGAGCTAATACTGGTCATTGAGGTATGGGGTAGTGCCCAGTTAGGGGTCGTGGACGGCTAGGCGGGGTGGTCTTAGCGTCAGTGGAGGACCCCCCCTATTGGAGGGAGGGAGGACCGATTGTTACCTCTGTGTCACTATGCGCTGATTGCGGGTGAGGGTGGCCAGATTATCTGTATTGTTGTGGCATTGGTACCCGCTGTTATCTAGGGGCGTAGTTGAATGAGGGCCCCAGTGTCTATTTACGAGGTAGAGCTCTCGATGTCCATATCATGTGTCAGAGGGATTGCCTTTGTCTGGTGTCTGAGTCCCGTCTAGTTATCGTGTCTCTTTTAGCATTTTAATATGGCATGTAGACATTGTCTCACTTTATCTTACGAGTAGTGTCCAGAGTATCAATATCCCGGTCTTTAAGCCGGTCATCCTCCCCCTGAATCTTAGCCTGTCAGGGTAATAATAAAGCCCCTTATGAGAAAGAGGGGGGGGGGGATGGGAGGGAAGATAGGTGTGGCTGGGGGATGGAGAGTGGATATTTTCTTGCATTATATATTTTTTTTTTTTTTGGGGGGGGATGAATATGAACCTACACAGTCGTACCTTACTATGAGCCTGGGGGTGCCCCTTTTCTACTTGGAAGATCTCAGATTAGTGGGGTTTACCTGGCCCGTATTGGTGCACCTTGCTCCCTCGCCTGGGGACGCAAGGTGTCAATGGACTTGGTAGAGGGCGGGTTTGGATGAACATAGTGATCCACATAGGGCGTGGTAATGTAATGTCAGGTCCCTGTATGGCAACGAGAGAGGCAGGGTGGGAGAGGGAGGAGAAGGGACGGGGGAGATCGTATATATGCAGGAGGGGGGGGGTGAGGGGGCATTTCGGGCTTAGGGATCTTGTGAGAAGCCTAGCAATTCTAAAGTACAAGCGGGTGGTTCTGAGCCTAGACAAGTCTCTGTTTGCACATATACACCAGTAAGATTCGTATACTCTTAGGTAGCCTGCCCTGCCTAATTCCTATCTGGGTGTCACAACTCACTTTACATTTCAATAATACATGGAGAACATATCACAGGTTATCGCAGGGGGAGGTGCCCGTTTGAGGTGTACACATGTCATAAGCCAACCATCGTCTCTGTAGTTCTTGGCATAGCAGTTTCATAGTAAAACCCAACGTGAGAAGAGGGGGGAGGAGGGGAGGGAGGGGGGTAAGGAGGGATAGGGTGTCGGGCGTGAATGGGGGGGGTATCTATTTTGCCTCCTTGTTATATTTTTGTTTTTGTTTTTTTGTTTAGCAGAAGCATGGTTAGTTGGCGACCGTGTACCATTTGGCATCTAGGGAGCGGGGTGGGGGGGGGGGAGAGGGAAGAGGGGGTTGTATACAGACAGGGGAGAGAGGATACTTAGACACTTGAGGGGGGCCCAGCTGGGCATATATTTACAGATCAACTAGCCTGGTAGCCCCATAGCGCAAGAAGGCTGAGGTCGTTTAGCACCCTTGGTGCTGCCACGGTCGTGGGCAATTAGCTGGGGTCAACCGGTGTCAGGCATCCATTTCTGTCTGTGCCTGGGGAGTAATTAAACTAGATAGGTGTAGGGAGGTTAGGGAGGGAACAGCGCTATGTCTCTAGCGATGGTAGTACTTGCGTGACCATCGGGAACTGGGCCATCTTGACGGGCATCGGTATGCCGTTCCAGTAGTCCTCTTGGGGGAGTCTCTTATTGCTGCGTCCGTCGGGGGTTCGTCAGGAGACCCCAGGGCTGCGGTCAGTCTTGTGTTTCACTTCTTGTAATTATATCCAATGGGCCTCGGGGGCTGTCGGGATGGGGCAAAGGTGAGCTGTATGTCCGTGGCAGGGTGATTTCCTCCAGCTGTTGTAGCTGCATGTCTTCGGCAATTAATAGTGGGTAGGAGCCTGTGCTGGATCATCCGCTGGCAATGCAGCTCTGTCAGCTCTCCGTTTGGTGGGTGTTTGGTGTCGGCGGTTCTGGAGCGGAAGCCTCGGAGCATTCGGCGGTGGTATAATGCCGTACCAGTCGGGTATTTGGACGTCTGGAAGGTCCATTTCCCTCAGGAATAGTGGAACATCATGAGTTGAGGAGATGGTGTGTGAGGCTCCATTGTAGGTGGCTGTCAGCGAGAGCGGAAAACCCCAACGGTATCTTACGTTTCTAGCTCGTAGCTGGTCCGTGATGGGCTTCAGTACTCTACGAGCTTGTAGGGTCATCCATGATAGGTCAGGATGGATTGCAATTGGAGCACCGTGGTATAGAAGGGGTTGTTGAGAGCGACGCAGGGCCTCCATAATTTTGTTCTTGCACTCATAATAGTGCAGTCTGCAGATTACGTCTCGGGGTGCATCAGATGCAGTGCCTCGTGGACGTAGAGCCCTGTGGGCCCTGTCAAAAATTATCTGTGTGTCAGTAGATCGGCCCATGATGAGATTGAAGAGCTCCTGCAGTATATCAGGCAGGTCTTCTCTGTCAGATTCGGGGAGGCCCTTCACCCTCAGGTTGTTTCGCCGTCCCCTATTATCCAGGTCATCCAGCGATCTTTGCATGACAGATACCTGTGTGTTCTGGGCTGACACCGTGTCTTGAAGCGCCCTAATTTGCGCCTGCATCGCGTCCCTGTCCACCTCCAACGCGAATATTCTGTGTTTCGTCTGCTTAAAGTCGGCCCTGGAATTTGGTCTGGAATGTTGTCTCAAGCCTGTGGAGCATGTGGGCCAAGTCTTGCTTAGAAGGCAGTGCCTTGATGAGCTCCTTGATGTCGGGGTCAGTTGAATGAGATGATATCCCAGAGCCCGTGGGACTCATCGGCGCGGAACAGGCCGGAGGCGAGTCGGGCGCCATGTTGGGGCCTACCGGGTCATTCGCTTGATCCACTGAGTCTCTGAAGAATTTTGTCAGGGCACCGTGTTTTCCTGCGGGGGTCCTGTGGGCAGAGTGCTGTCCAGCGGTTGAACGTTTTGGGTGTCCCATTTTAAGAGTTGTAACGCCCGATGGCGATGGATTGGCTTTCCAAGAGTGAGGAGCTCAGCTAACACACGTCCATGCGGTTAGGCAGTCGGCTCCGGCCCCCCCATGAAGCTGTTCTTATCCTTTACCATTGTATGCTCTGTTCAGATATGCTACTCTGACTTGAGACCAGAAAATAATAATGCATGGCAGGAAAATATATGGTTGCAGATAGCAAAAGCTTTTTTATCTAAAGCCGAATACTCTGCCCTAGCGTACACCTTGGTAGGAGTCCCAGGCTTAGCATTGTATAATACCCGAGTAGTAAATGCTGTAGCCTGTTCCCTTGCAAAAGGTTTAAATGCCACTTCCCAGGCCCTAGAAGAGTTACTTATGGACAGCCAGGCAAATAAGAAGGCAATCCTTGAGAATAGAGCAGCCATTGACTACTTACTAATGAAACATGACTTAGGCTGTGAAGCTATTGAAGGTATGTGCTGTTTTAACCTATCTGACCATGGCACTATGATCCATAAACATATAAGATTTACATGACTTAGTACAGGATATCAAACAGGATACTGGCTTATTTGGGGATTGGGATTGGACATTTGGGCTAGGAACATGGTTGACTTTACTAATTAAGAAGATTTTGTACTTTTTGCTATTAGCTGTATTTGTCATTGTGGCGAAACCAACCTCGCCACTGTACACTGAAGAAGCCTGGTTGCTCGCCTGCTCCCTTTAGACTATGGTCCTGCATTTTAAACTTTTATTTTACCGGCAGAAAGGTTTATTCGTGCCTTTCTGCGGACTGTTAAAGCCATGCTACCCCAGATAGCTATGCCATGGAGCCCAGCCGTATACTGAAAGACTGTATGAAAGACTTTGGCTCCATGGCGATTGAACTGTATGTATGTGATCTGAGCGCCATTCGGTAGTAATGTGCACTCAGATCTAAGCTATCTGGGGATATGTAGAATGTCTATGTTTTATGGAATAAATGTAACTGTATGTAATTTTATATCTTTTATTGTATTGTTACTGCCATGTGGTTAATGGAGTCTTGCCTCTGTCCTGGGATATAATTGGATTACTTCACAATTATCTCCAGGACAGAGAGGAGGGATTGTGATGTAATTGTGGGTGTGTTTTATGGTTCTCCTGTAAATGATTGGTTATACTGTGTCCCACCCTGTGGGATGTCCCCTTGCATGGGGATTTGCATAAAAGCCAGTGTGTGGCCATTACAGGAGAGTTCCTGCTTAACCCTCAAAGTGAAGTGTCGTCTCATTATTGGGGGAGGATTTACTGTATGCTGTTAGAGACTGATTGCCAGGAGTGTAAGCCGCTTGGGGGCTTTTCCTGTTCGTCTGCTAGCAGCTATTCGTGTGTCTCCAGTTCGGGAGTTTCGAGTATTCCCTTGGTTGCAGTTCGGGAGTTGGTGAATTCGTGGGTTTGCAGTTCGGGAGATTGGTGCTTGCAGTAGCTGTCTGTGCAGCTGAAAAGGGGGAATATCGCCTAAACGGTTTTTAACCTCCTGTGGGCAAAACGGTCCGTTACAGTCATTATGGCTATTTTTCTAACCTTTAGATTTTTTTCATGTCTACTAACCTCTCTATGTAAAAGCAAACCTACTGTTGGTCGTACCTTAATTTACATTCCAGCTCCGACTTCGGAAAAGTTTTATGATGTTACCTCGCCAAATTAAGGAACTCTTCTCTGCTGATTCTGGTGGTCTCTCAGTCCAAGGGAACCGTGGTGAAGCAATAAATGAAAGTCCCACAGGCTTTGGCTAGCAGGCCTGGATATACCTTGGACATTTGGGTGACCCTTGGATCTAAAGAGGGGATTGTGAGAGAATTTATCTTGATTCCAAGGCTCAAGCTTATAGGTGTCATATAATGATATCCTATATTAAAATTGGCTAACTTGGACTCAGGAAATGCTTGATGCTTAAACAACACTTAAGACCATATATGTCTAAGTTCCGGGAGCAGAGAGCCCCCACCTAAGATGTCTCTGCTCTAATCATTTTGTTCTCTCTTACCTTGAAACTTATTTGTTATGTGTACATGACGCTCATCCCTATGTCTTATCTGTGCTCTCTTCCTATTACTGTTCTAAGAGTATTTGCACGTAAGCACTTACTTTTTAATGTATAAAACCCAGTTGATGAATAAAACATCAGAGGCTTATTTTGAATACCAACAGGTGTCTGGTGTCTAATTCTCGCTTCTCCAAGTGCACTTGTAACAACAATTTGGGCTTCCTCTGAATATAACAAAGATCAACATTTCTGGTCCACAACACGGGGAGGCAACAAAACTGCCGAACGTTCGGCTTTTGTGTCTTCTTTTGCATGGAATGAAGGAGAAGTGGCCGCAGGTGATAGGAGTCCTGGAAAGGGGCCTGGACAAGCACAGGCCAGTGGAAGAAGGATGAGTGGTACAGCAGGCTTGGAAGCAGGTCACGGGAACGCTGGAAGCGCTGTTGGAGGAACAGTGACAATGGCTATACACCGTCTGGGTGAGTCGACCTCTGACGCCAATGCCCCGCCAATGGCTGGGCCACGGGTTACCCCGGTGGTGGGCCCCGGTGTTGGCTTGGCTAGTGATGGCAGGGGGGCAGGAGGCAGACAGGGGACGGCTAAGGCACAGAACGGTCCAGAGGGGTATAGCACAGCAAGACGGAACAGAGGGTCATCAGGCAGCGGGCGGGAACGCAGCGCTTCCCCGGGTTTTCCTATACGACCGGGGAAGGGACGATGACAGGCGAGGCTGGTAGTTAGGGGAGGATCAGAAGGGAGTGACAGCGAAGAACAGCGCAGAAGGTTGGCACCAGCAAAGATGACAGCGCGCAGGGCTAAAGCGAAGGGCGCACAAGGCGCTGGGAGGGACCGGTCACGAAGCAGCCATCGGAAGGTAGCTGAGGTAGTTGACAGGGACCCCCGCGGGTGGACCACACCCGGGGAGGCATAAGGCGCCCCCTGTCGGTTCAAGGGGATGGTCGCAGCAGGACGGCAGTTCCACGAGTGGGAGTTCCGCGGAGAGGAGGTGGGCTGCTGTGCAGGCTCATGACCCTCGGGGTGGGATGGCAAGCAGGGAGATGGGGGACTGTTCCCAGGACGAGAGGGGACGGGGCAGGGTTTCTACGGCCAGCCTACCCAGGATGTCTTCTCCTTACAGGTTTCGAGGACGGTCACCCTCGGAGAGGGAGAGACCCCACGCGACAAGGACAGCAGGGCGGTCGCCGGCATGCAAGGACAGGCGTCTTCCAGGTCCCCCGCGGATCGGGTGAGACCCAGCGCTTGAGGAGCATGGCCCCGAGCAGCGGGACGCTTGGGGCAGGAGATCCGCGGTCGGTCAGCAACCCCATGGCCTTCAGCGGCAAGGGGTGCGGAAGGTGAGACATGGTCGTTACAACAGTCGGGGGAGCTGCTAGATGACATTAGGCAGTTAATTGATTCCTGGGGTGTAGGGAGAAGGAAGGACAGTGAGTGCAGTCAGGTTTGGGCTCGGGTGGGAGAGGTCTCAGGGGCTAGTCCGGTGAGGGTTTCTGGGGCCTGAGGCAGCACAGTTGGGGACGGGGGTGAGACCCCCACAGTAGAGGCGCCCGGGTTGGCGAGTGAGAGGGCGAGCTTATTGGGGGGCGTCCCGGAGGCCGCGCGGCAGAACGTTCATGTTTCTTTCGCAGGCCCACTGGGCTGTCATCTCAAAATGGAGGTTAAGGAGAGGATATGGAAAGGGGAGTTCGTGGAAATCTTTTTGCTTCTCCCCTTGAGGACTACATTGACCTCAAGGAGGAGGATAAAAAGGATGCCAAAAAGGAGGAGGAGAAAAAGAAGCGGAGGTATAGGAAGATACCTAAGACGTTTGGGAACTGGCTGAGGGCATTTTGCATCTTGGCCAGCATGTTCGCAGCTCTTCTGTTACCTGGATGGTATTTGGGAGGCTTATCGGACATACGGGGGTCTGGCCTGGTGGCGATATGACGAGCAGTTTCGTCAGCGCCTGGCTGCTAATCCAGGGATGCAGTGGGACCAGATGGACCTACCCCTCTGGATAAAACTTATGATGGCGCAGAAGGCGTCCCCCTTTCAGACAGGGGCCGGCACGGGCGCGTCTACCGCCGTGTCAGCCAACCAAAAACGGGGCTACTGCTGGCTGTATAATGAGGGACAGTGCAAGTGGGGGGCCACTTGTTGATTCAAGCACGAGTCCTCCGGGCGTGGAGGCACCCACGGACTTCACAGGTGTTTCAAAAAAGGGAAGTCGGCCTCCGCAGCAGGTGTGCCTGGAGGTTCGGCAGGGTCACCTGCCTCTGGGGGCCACACCAGTGAAGGTCATCGCGATGCGGTCGTGGCTAAGCCACTACACTAACAGGGAAGATGCGGCGTTGCTAGAGGATGGGGTTCACCAATGGGTTCATTATCCCGTTTCGGAAGCGAGTGGTGGCTCATCGTCTTCGCAACCTGAAGTCGGCTGGGGAATTTCCGGGGGTCGTTAGGGAGAAGTTGCATAAGGAGGTTCAGCTGGGCAGGGTGGCGGGGCCGTTCAGGGAGCCCCCATTACCCAACTTGAGAGTATCATCACTTGGGGTGGTACCCAAGAAGGAACCCGGCAAGTACCGCCTGATTCACCATCTGTCCTACCCCAAGGGGTCATCAGTTAATGACGACATAGACAGGGCCCTTTCTTCGGTTTCGTATGCTACGTTTGACTAGGCGGTGAACCTGGTGCAGCGAGCAGGCCGGGGGGCGTTGTTGGCGAAGGCGGACGTGGAGGCGACTTTCCGCCTTTTGCCGATTCACCCGAAGTGCCATCACTTGCTGGGTTGTCACTTCGAGGGGGAATATTACGTAGATCTTTGGGTGCTCTATATCGTGCGCGTACTTTGAAAAATTTAGCACATTCCTGGAATGGGTGGTAAAGCTGGAGGCGGGCACTAGGATGGTAGTCCATTATCTGGATGATTTCCTATATGTAGGGCCTCCTGGATCGGAGGAATGTCACAGGGGATTGAGGACACTGGAATGGGTGGCGCACGTGATTGGAGTCCCTTTGGCAAGTGACAAAACGGTGGGGCCTACGACCTGCCTAAGTTTCTTGGGCTTGGAGATCGACTCGGTAAAGGGGGAGTGCAGGCTGCCACAGGACAAGTTATAGGCACTACGGCAGGCGGAGGTGTGGGGAGCTAAGAATGTTACGCTCCGGGCGCTTCAGTCTCTGCTCGGTCGGCTAAACTTCGCCTGTCGGGTGATCCCGGTCGGACGGGTTTTTAACAGGTTCCTAGCCAGGGCAACAGCATGGGTGGTGTTCCCGCACCACCTTATTCAGGTATCAGGAGCCACGAAGGCTTACTTGGACATCTGGGGGGAATTCTTGCGGGATTTTAACGGGAAAGTGTTCTTTCGGGAGCCGGCGGCGTCTTCTCAGGAGTTGGAGCTGTTTACGGACGCATCGGGGAGTGTCGGGTTTGGGGCTTACTTATCGGGTCAATGGTGCGCGGGTACTTGGCCAGGGGCCTGGAAGGCCAGCCCACTGATACGCAAACTATCGTTCCTGGAATTGTTCCCGTTGGGGCGCTGTCACTATGGGGTCCACAGTTGAGGGATTAGAAGGTGGTATTCTTTACAGACAATATGGCAGTGGTAGATGCAGTGAACAGGCTATCAGCGTCCTCTATCCCGGTGGTGCGGCTTCTTCGCCGTTTTGTCTTGTTCTGTATGAGGTTTAACATTGTGTTTCGGGCGCGCCACGTGCCGGGACTGTTGAATGTCATTGCTGATGCGTTGTCTCATTCACAGTAGGAGAGATTTCAGCAGGTGGCACCTGGCGCACGGGAGGAAGGGATGTCTTGCCCGGACGAGATGTGGCGGCTCGGGACATCATGCTTGGCGGACTGATCAGGGATTCCCTGGCACCTGCTAGCAGGGCGGCATACAGTAAGGTGTGGGGGGAATGGGACAAACTGGTGCAGCAGACAGGGGGTCAGCTCTCAGAGGAGGCGCGGTTGGATGTGCTGCTGTGGCTCTTGTGTAGGTCAGTTACCACAGGGGCTTCGGCAGCGATGATGGGGCGTAAGCTGGCAGCGCTAGTATTCTTGTTCTAATTTAACGGGTGGGAGGATGCTACCAAAAATGTAATGGTTAGACAGGCACTGAAAGGTTTCAGGAGGGGTAAAGTGTCAGTGGATACTAGGAGGCCGGTGTCGTTCAAATTGCTGCAGCGGGTGGTCCGAGTGCTGCCCGCGGTGTGTTTTTCAGGATGCGAAGTGATGTTGTTTTCCTTGATTTTTAGTTTTGCCTTTTTTGGGGCATTTCAGGTCAGCGAGCTAGCAGCAATCGCCAAGGGTCCGGGGGACTTCAGGCGATGGACGTGGAAATGTGGAGCAATAAGGTAGTGATTAACCTGAGGCGGTCCAAAACGGATGTAATGGGAAAAGGAACGTTGGTTACGTTGTGGGAGCTCCCGGGTGGGAGAACTTGCACGGTTAAGTGCGCAACGGCCTTCTGGGAGGTGCGGGCAATGGCCGGGGGTTCATATTTCAAGCATGAGGATGGCTCTTCGCTATCGAAATTCCAGTTCCTCAGGGTTTTTCGGAAGGCGTTGGCAAGGTTGGGTGTGGACCCGGGCCAATTCGGGACACATTCTTTCAGGATTGGTGCGGCTACTGAAGCGGCGAGACTAGGTTTAGGTGACGAACGGGTGAAAAAGATTGGCAGGTGGGAGTCCCTGAGGTTCAGGTCTTACATTAGACCAGACAAGTTGGTTTAAGTTGGTGGATGGAAAAGGGGGAATGTTGGTGGTTGTTTTGTGGTTGTCTATGTTTGCTTTATGTTTTACAGGTCGGATGGCATGGGTGGTCGGCCACTCATACGTACACAGGGCGCAACGGAGAGCTGCAGTTCGACGTCACGGTCTACAGCTGGGCTTTCCGAGTTCTGTGCAGCTTCGGTGGTTTGGTTACCGGGGCTGGGGTTGGAATGTTATATGTGAGGAAATGTTTCACAAAATTCTTTTGGGACAGGTTCCGGAAGAAGTGGTGCTTCATGCAGGGGGCAATGATGTGGGGTCGTTACCTCAAAAGGTCCTGCTCGAGTGTATGAAGAGGGACGTGGACAGGTTAAGGGAGTTGGTGCCAGGGGTTATGGTAGTATGGTCGGAAATGGTTCCGAGGTTGTACTGGTGGCACGTACGGTGTAGCGCAGATACAATATTCCACAGATTATCTCCGCTTAAGATCCCAGTGAGGCTCAGGAACCAGTAAATTATAAATCCACAGGCAAGGTTTCCAACAGGCAAAATAATCCAATAGTATCCCCACAGCAATCCCAATGACTGGACGAAACACAGCATCAGGAGCAGAACTGAAAGCTTTATTCCACAGTGGCCTTATATAGCATGCTCCCATGCAAGGGAGGGATTACATTCATTAACACAATAGCCAATCCTGTCCTGGTAACCTCCCACACATCTCCTCCCCTCAGCTGGCATCATAATCCCCTTATCCAGTACAGCAATTCCCCACATTTCTGGATGTACCCCTAAACCTAGGGGTACCACTTTAAATTATGCATCCCCTGGTAGCCCTGATCTGGGTGAACAACATATCCAAAAATCACCCAGATCAGACCAGGGGTTCGGGAATTTCATGGATGGAATAAAATGACCGATCGCACTGGATGAACTAGCCGAATTGGGCTCCATGCGATTGGGCCCTGCGGTCGGTCCTGGAAAAGGCGAATGAAGTACCTGAAAGCCTCCAGCTATAGAGGCTGGAGAGGGTTCACCTGAATCCCCTCGTTCGGTAGGCATAATCAACCGAACGAGGGGATTCAGGCAGATTCAGGTAGTTTGGAACTTAACGGACCGGGCTGATGGAGGTCTAAGCGGTGTTCGCCTAGTCGAGTGTCCGTTTTGAGTTCCAGACACTCGACGGCAAAACACCGCTGTTCGGGAGTTTAAGATGGCCGCCGCCACGTGTTCGTTTCCCGAATGGCGGCCACCCCTGAGAACAAAGGATTGCTACACAGCTTGTCAATTACCCGTTCGCAACAATGTTGCAACGGGTAATTGAAGGCACACTTCACACAGGGGAGGTCTGACTGTTCGGTAGTTTCATTCGAACAAACTAAGGGAATGAAACTACCTAACATTCAGACGAATACAATACATTTAGCACATAGAAATTTGCTATTTTACACGAATGCATTCCCTTACTGCCTATACATTTAGCAAATAGACGAATACAGGTTAAACATAATACAAGTCCCAGGGCAGCTCATGGCCTCCGCTACATGCGGAATCCCTCCGCGGTGGCGAAAATTAAGGGTAAGGTTAACAAGGTGATGGCAGCGTATGTGAAGCGGTTAGGGGGGCTTGTGATCAGGCACAGGGAGTTGGAAGACACGCTCCCAGGTTATTATAGGAGTGATGGGGTCCATCTGTCCTATGTGGGTTTGGACTTTTTGTTGCTGGGTTTCCAGGAGGGCCTCCAGAGAGTGCTTTTTTCCCTGGGGGGGGTGTCGCTCAGGAGCTCGAGGAGTCGAGCTCTGAGCTGTGGCGGGGGATGGAGAGTAAAGTTGGGGGAAGAAAAGAGTGAGATGGGGAAAAAGTTTGGAGTTCAGGGCTAATAGGTAGGCCTTTGGACTGGTTTGGTAAGTTCGAGCTCGTAGGTAGCTCCGAACCGGGGTGTGTATGGGGTGTCTCGGTACGCCCCTACATTTGTGGTGCCCTTTGGTGGCAATGGTCATGTTCATGTTAAATAAAATGTTCAATGTTTGGGTGTTATGTTATGTGGGGGTGGGTCATTGTCAAGGGGTTAATTGTAAATGCAGGATGTTAATTGTGCAGGCCAACGTTGGCCTGCTGTTGACAATGACCTTTAAATTTATGTTAATTACAAATAAAGCTGTGATATAATTTTGCCAAAACCATGGTGTCTGTGCTTTATTGGGGTATTTGGTGGGGGTTGTTTTTAAGCAGAGGCTGACAAGGCGACTGTGCTCATGTCATGAGACATTATGTGCAATGTATGATGAGCAGAAGCAAGATTTGGTGAAGAAAGTGGATGAAGTAACCCAGGAATCTGAGAACAGAGTTTCTGCGGCAGATTAATCAGATCCAGGTGGAGATCGGCAATGGATGTAAAAGAGGAAAGCACTGAAAAACTGAAAAGTGCAATAAAAAGTGAGGAAAGAAAATGTTATAAAATGCAAAAGTTAAACCCATTAAGGATTAAGAAGGTACCAACACAACCGCTAAAAGACAAGCAAGTAGGGGTAATGATAAAGAAATGGTGATAAAATGTGCCCAGTGACTTTACTTGCTCAAACAGGAGAGGCTGCTGCTGAATGTAAACCTGAGAGTTCACCTGGGTGCAATAAACCAGCAGCCCTCAGCATTGCCGTACCTGAATGCTTAAATGAAATAACTGTCCATAAGCTGAGATCTAGGAGCATAAAGCGTGTTGTGGAAAGACTTATTGAGAAAGAAAATGATTTGCAAAAACCTCTTGGTGTAAGCATTGCAAGAGATACAACACAAAGCAGGGATTCCACAGCAAAGCAAAATCTGGAGGAATCACCAGATAGACATCTGCAATCTGGAACTGGCTCTAGCAATCCAGAAGGACAAAAACATGGACCGGATACAGGTACTAAAAAGGGAATAGGAACCAGCAAACAGAGCAGCACACAGGTAAATGTACAACAACCTGCAGCAAGCGGGAATTTGTTTTCAAACGTTGCAAGATCAAGGGGAGATGTATCTAAGCGGAAGAATGCAGTGCGCCTGTTGTTCACAGGACCAGAACCTGATATTCCAGACAGAATATTCATTGGTCGCAAACTCTTAATGGAATTCATGGGTTTTTCTGCAAGTAAATATTTGCATTTATTCACTTTCCTAGATCAAGACAATTTGACATTAGTTTTAAACTGATGCAGAACCTGGATATGTTTTGGGTGATTTTCCATAGGACAAAATCAGATGGTATCTGGAAAAATATAAAAACTATCCCACTCACAAAACAGGCTACAGTGTCCATCAATCTCCAGTTCCAGACAGAAGTAGTGGCTTTAAATAACATAATGTACTGGATAAAGAGACACTGTACAGTTGTGAGTGACCCACAAAAGATTTATGATGAGATTGGGCTATGGAATGGTGGATGGAAACTGCAAGTTAAACTGTGGCAGACAGGGGGCGTTACTCATCATTTACCACACAGTTTTTTTTTTATCGGTCTGGACAGAGGCATTTGCTATTATCCAGGACAGCCTAGAAGCTGTTTATAAATGTGGGTCAAAAAGGCATTTGGCCTTTTGCTGTGATAAAATAAAGTGCTCTCAATGTAACTGTCTGGGCCATATGAGATCAGAATGCAAGCAGGACGTAATATGCAACTTATGTTCTGTACAAGGTCATACCTTTAGAGAGTGCCCAGAAGCACACCATAATAAGATAAACGACTGTGTGCTAGATTTGGAAAGCATACTTACTGAAGCAATGGAAGAGTCCAATACAACTGAGAAACAAGATACAAATGAGCCACAGAAAGATGACATTACTGAGCCAGAAAACATCTTAAGGAAAGACGCCAAGGAAATACAATCTCCATTAAATGTTGAAAAGGGTCTACTATTAGAAAAAAACAGTGAAGAATTTCAGTTGGTGCAAGGAAAGCACAAGAAGAAATTAAAATATTCAGGTACTCGTGAGTCACAAAAACCTCCTCAGATGCTTTCGTCATTTGAGATAACTGCTGGTCGCTATGCTATCCTGGATGAACCTAGTGAAGATGCCATGGAGTTTAAACAGAGTGAAGGATCTCTCTGGAAAAGGCGAACAGAGCAGCACACAGGTAAATGTACAACAACCTGCAGCAAGCGGGTGAAGAAGAAGCAACTGCCTCTGTTTCAATAAAACGATGGGGATCTCAAGGTGACAATATAGGAGCAGTAAAGAAGAAGCGCTGAGTCTCCTTGGTTTTCATGACTTTACATATATGCTCGCTTAATGTCAACAGTTTGAGATCAAAAGAGAGAAGAGACTTACTCTATACTGTTCTGAAAGAACAATCATTTGATGTGTGTTTATTACAGGAGACAAGATTAAGAAATAATAGCCAGGTTTTTTGTGCTAAAAGAGAGTGGACAATGGGCCCATCTTATTGGTCATTTGGACTGGAAAGTTATGATGGTGTGGGTATTTTGTTTAAGAACTGTGATTTTCAAATTGATCGGATTGTGGAAATTGTTGCAGGTAGATGCCTTTTGTTAGATTTTACGCTTAATGATGTGAGATATCGAATAATTAATATATATGCTCCTCAGATAATAGCAGGTAGGAAAAAAGTGTTTTTAAGTGTAAAACCATATTGTTTCACATCCAAAGTGTTAATTATGGGAGGTGATTTTAACGGTGTGGTAAATAATGAAGATCGAAATAGTAATTATAAAAATTTAAAATATTATGAAAACTTTCTAAAAACTCTGATCAGTCAAGCTGGTCTGATTGATACATAGAAACATAGAAACATAGAATGTGACGGCAGATAAGAACCATTCGGCCCATCTAGTCTGCCCAATTTTCTAAATACTTTCATTAGTCCCTAGCCTTATCTTATAGTTAGGATAGCCTTATGCCTATCCCACGCATGCTTAAACTCCTTTACTGTGTTAACCTCTACCACTTCAGCTGGAAGGCTATTCCATGCATCCACTACCCTCTCAGTAAAGTAATACTTCCTGATATTATTTTTTAAACCTTTGTCCCTCTAATTTAAGACTATGTCCTCTTGTTGTGATAGTTTTTCTTCTTTTAAATATAGTCTCCTCCTTTACTGTGTTGATTCCCTTTATATATTTAAATGTTTCTATCATATCCCCCCTGTCTCGTCTTTCCTCCAAGCTATACATGTTAAGATCCTTTAACCTTTCCTGGTAAGTTTTATCCCGCAATCCATGAACCAGTTTAGTAGCCCTTCTCTGAACCCTCTCTAAGGTATCAATATCCTTCTGAAGATACGGTCTCCAGTACTGTGTACAATACTCCAAGTGAGGTCTCACCAGTGTTCTGTACAATGGCATGAGCACTTCCCTCTTTCTACTGCTAATACCTCTCCCTATACAACCAAGCATTCTGCTAGCATTTCCTGCTGCTCTATTACATTGTCTGCCTACCTTTAAGTCATCAGAAATAATCACCCCTAAATCCCTTTCCTCATATGTTGAGGTTAGGACTCTATCAAATATTCTGTACTCTGCCCTTGGGTTTTTACGTCCAAGATGCATTATCTTGCACTTATCCACATTAAATGTCAGTTGCCACAATTCTGACCATTTTTCTAGTTTACCTAAATCATTTGTCATTTGGCTTATCCCTCCTGGAATATCAACCCTGTTAGACATCTTAGTATCATCAGCAAAAAGACATACCTTACCATCAAGACCTTCTGCAATATCACTAATAAAAATATTAAAGAGAATGGGTCCAAGTACAGATCCCTGAGGTACCCCACTGGTGACAAGTCCAAGCTTCGAATATATTCCATTAACTACAACCCTCTGTTGCCTGTCACTCAGCCACTGCCTTACCCATTCAACAATATTTGAATCCAAACTTAAAGATTGCAGTTTATTGATAAGCCTTCTATGTGCAACAGTGTCAAAAGCCTTACTGAAATCTAGGTAAGCAATGTCTACTGCACCACCCTGATCTATAATTTTAGTTACCCAATCAAAAAAATCAATAAGATTAGTTTGGCATGATCTCCCTGAAGTAAACCCATGTTGTCTCTGATCTTGAAATCCATGTGTTTTTAGATGTTCATCAATCCTATCCTTTAACATGGTTTCCATCACTTTCCCCACTACTGAAGTAAGGCTTACTGGCCTATAGTTGCCCGACTCCTCCCTATTACCTTTCTTGTAAATGGGCACAACATTCGCTAACTTCCAATCTTCTGGGACTACTCCTGTTAACAATGATTGGTTAAATAAATCTGTTAATGGTTTTGCTAGTACACCACTAAGCTCTTTTAATAGCTTTGGGTGTATTCCATCAGGTCCCATTGACTTATTTGTCTTTACTTTTGACAGTTGAAATAGAACCTCTTCCTCTGTAAACTCACGTGTAATAAATGACTCATTTATCCTTTTTCTCAACTGAGGTCCCTTTCCTTCATTTTCATCTGTAAATACAGAACAAAAATATTCATTGAGGCAGTCAGCTAGACCTTTATCCTCTTCTACATACCTTCCTTCTTTTGTTTTTAATCTAACTAATCCTTGTTTTACTTTTCTTTTCTCATTTATGTATCTAAAAAATGTTTTATCCCCCTTTTTTACTGACTGTGCTATTTTCTCTTCTGTGTGTGATTTGGAAGCTCTTATAACTTGCTTAGCCTCTTTCTGCCTAATCTTATAGATCATTTTGTCTTCCTCACTCTGGGTTTTTTTATAATTCCTAAATGCTAACTTTTTGTTTTTAACTATTTTGGCCACATCTGCGGAGTACCACAGTGGTTTCTTGAATTTTTTGCTTTTACTGACAAGCCTAATGCAATTTTCTGTTGCCTTCAATAGTGCAACTTTTAAATAATCCCATTTTTCTTGGACTCCATTTAAATTGCTCCAGTCTGATAATGACTCCTCTACCCATATTCTAATTTTAGAAAAGTCTGTTTTTCTAAAGTCTAAAACTTTTGTTTTTGTGTGGTGTGACTCAGTCACTGTTCTTATATTAAACCACACTGACTGATGATCACTGGATCCTAAACTTTCACCTACAGTAACATCTGATACCAAATCTCCATTTGTTAACACTAAATCTAGTATGGCCTCTTTACGAGTTGGCTCCTCAACAACTTGTTTTAGAGACAATCCCAGTAGGGAGTTTAGAATATGTGTGCTCCTGGCACAAGTAGCTAATTTTGTTTTCCAATTTACATCAGGAAGATTAAAGTCACCCATGATGATAACTTCCCCCTTCATTGTCATTTTAGCTATTTCCTCAACTAGTAGATTATCTAACTCTTCAATTTGTCCTGGGGGCCTATAAATCACACCTACACGAGTTACTGTGTGATTACCAAATTCTAACGTAGCCCAAACGGACTCTATGTTTGCCTCACTAACTTTTATTAGGCTAGATTTTATGCTATCCTTCACATACAAGGCCACCCCTCCCCCTTTCTTGCCTCCCCTATCTTTCCTATATAAAGAGTACCCTGGTATTGCTATGTCCCAGTCATTTTTCTCATTGTACCATGTCTCAGTAACAGCGACTAAATCTACACTATCAGTTGCCATTATTGCCACAAGTTCATGGATCTTATTCCCTAAACTGCGAGCATTTGTAGACATGACTCTAAGCTTATCATTTTTTAACACACTTGCTACAGGCACCTTCTGTTCTTGTTTTGGGGGACAATTGGATTGATGTTTTATCACCCTTTTGCCCCCCCCTCCTAGTTTAAATACATCCTAGCAAAACCTCTGAACTGCTCACTGAGAACATTTGTTCCCTTTGAGAAAGATGCAAACCATCTTTTTTGTACAGCTTATCTCCATTCCAAACAGAGCATGAGGGCCAGCCAAATCCTGTTCCACACCATTCACCAAGCCACAAATTACAGTCCCACACAAGATCCTCTGTCGCTCTGAGTGTTAAGTGCACAGGCAGAACTCTGTGGAGAATGACACAGTGTGGCTAAACCCGTCAGAGCATCATTGGCAAAACACTAAAACTCTTTAACCCTCCTTGTCCCCATTGCAAGCCAAGTCATTTGTCCCTAGATGGACAAGTACATCCACCCCTTCCCGTTTTGTTTGCTTAACAATATTACAGATATCGCCTCTGTCCTGTGGAGCAGTATCTCGGAAGACACCTCACAAGACCACCATTGTCCATCTCCACACCTTATAATGGAATCACCCACCAACAACTGCTTTCTATTAGGCCTCACCATAGTCTCCAAGCCGGTCTCCACAACACCACTAGCCTCAGTGCCTCTCTCCACAACACCACTAGCCTCAGTGCCTCTCTCCACAACACCACTAGCCTCAGTGCCTCTCTCCACAACACCACTAGCCCCAGTGCCTCTCTCCACAACACCACTAGCCCCAGTGCCTCTCTCCACAACACCACTAGCCTCAGTGCCTCTCTCCACAACACCATTACACTCTGAAAGTGCAGAAAATGAATTATGAAGAGCGACAGACTGTGCAAAATGCCTTTTATCCACAACTCTAAGTCTACCAGATCCTACAGTAATCCATCTGCCATTCCTAGTATGTCTCTGCGTCAGTGGCCTTGCAGCAGTTCCAGCCTGAGTTTGTTCACCAGATAATTTACAAATCTCAGACTTCAAAAATACAATCTCCTGCCGCAAGATAGAGAACTGTCTACAGATTAGACAACAACCAAACCTCCAAAAAGTGGAACGTGAAACAAATGTATAGCAACTATTACACTGAACTAAGTCTGCCATTCCAATTATGTTTATGAATTACATATCATAAAGGGAGGTGGGCAAGTCGTATAGATAGACTTTATGTAAAAAATCAAACTTCATCTTTTAGATATAATTTAGTCTTGGTAGAGTTTTCAGATCATGATATGATTAGTCTGTCCTTAAAGGTAAAGGAAGGAATAATATATGGGAAAGGTATCTGGAAACCTAACTCAAGAATACTTGATAATGATAAAGTTAAGCAAGAATTCATTACTTTTTATGAAGATCGAAAAACCACGCAGTGTTTATACGACACGATGTCGAGTTGGTGGGAACAAACAAAAAAAGATATTAAAAGTTTTTTTAAATCAAAAGCTAGAAAAGAAGGAAATCGTCAATATATGCAATATCTTGCTCTAAGACTTAGACTTAGTAAATTATATTCCTTGGTCAATAATGGTGAGACTGTGAATTCAAATAGCATTAATCAAGTTAAGGATAAAATGAAAAAACTTCAATATGACCGTATGATCTCTCTAAAAGCTGAAAATGAATTTGATAGTTGGGGTTTCACAGCCCCAGATCCTTTTCAAGCGTGTAAGGAAAGAGTATGTAAGAAAGCCATAGCAGGACTGGTAGATCAAGATGGTGAAACACAAACAGAAAGTAAGGACATTATAAATATTGTCACAAAATATTTTAAGCAGTTGTTTGCAAGACAGCCTATTGCAAATGAAAATATTTGCAAGATGTTGATAATCCGGTATTAAATGCAGTGGATGCTGAGACCATGGTTAAGCCTATAACAGAGGAAGAAGTTAGACATAGCATTCAATCATTAGTTGGGAAGAAAAGTCCAGGATTGGATGGGATAACTGCAGAGTTTTATAAAGTGTTTTTAGATCTTTTGGTAACGGATCTTGTAATGCTATATAATGAAGTGCTAACTCTGGGACAGTTGCCGTCCTCACAGTATGCCTCAGTCTTGGTACTTTTATCTAAAAGTGGTAATTTGAATGAACTAAAGAACTGGCGTCCGTTATCATTATTGAATACTGATTACAAAATTCTTGCAAAGGTCATGTTTATGAGGCTTAGTGCGGTGGCTGAAATTTTGGTAAGTCCGTGTCAGTCGTGTGCAGTTAAGAATCGTAGCATACAGGATACAATGTTGCTAGTAAGAGAGGTGGTGGAATATGCTAAGCAGCAGAGAGAAGGTATTTATTTGGTAGGACTAGACCAGTCCAAAGCATTTGACCGAGTACATCATGAATTTTTATTTGAGATTTTACGGAGATATGGCATTCCTAATACTTTTATTAAATGGTTGAAGATATTATATAAAGAAGCAATATGTTTCCCTTTAATTAATGGTAGTTTGGGAGACCCTTTTCAGGTTGAATCTGGAGTTCGTCAGGGTTGTCCTATAAGTCCTTTGCTTTATGTTTTTAGCATTGGCCCTCTATTAAGGAAAATAAAAGGAAACCATAATTTTCAAGGCTTAGAAGTGAAAGTAGAAGGTGTTTCCGAGGGAGTCAAAGTTTGTGCTTATGCAGATGATATTTCTGTTTTTTTGAAATCAGAAGCAGATAACCAATTGTTACAAAGGGAACTTAAAAGTTATTCTCAAATTTCCAACTCTATGGTTAATATGGAGAAGAGTGAAGCATTGTGGCTGGGGGATAATGCAGAAGCTTTTCAAATCCCTTTTAAAAGAAAGGATAAAACAATCAAAGTGTTGGGTATTACATATGGATGTGTAGAAGACATTGCCCAGAGAAATTGGGATGATAAATTTAAAATATTCTCAGATAAAATACACAAATGGAAAAATTGGAAATGGTCTTACCAAAAGAAAATTCAAGCTATCAAACGATTTTTATTTCCCATTTTTATTTATACTAGTTTTGTCTTTCCATTACCAGATAAATTAGTGGTTAAGATAACCGGTTTGTTGTTCCAGCTAATATGGGGTAATCGTTTAAATATTGTTAAACGTAACATTTCCTATCTCCATAGGAAAGATGGAGGATTAGGCATGTTGTGTCCAGAACTTTTTTACAATCTCTTGTTTATAACCAAGAATTTAAGTTTTTTTAAATCTGGTAGAACAGATTTATGGGGAGTCTTATATAAAAACCAAATTAATCACTTTGTTGGAGTTTGGACAAGAGGTGTAAAGATCAAAAGATTGTCTGGTAAGGTTAAACATTGCTCTCTATATGCTCAGCAATGTATAAAGTTGTTGCTGAGATGGCAAATTTCATGTGAAGATATCACTGGGCTACATAGAAAACAATTATATCATGTTCTGTTAAATAAGTACTATAGTGCCCAGCTGGTTTTAAAAGACTGCCCTAATACCTTAATGAAAAAAGCCATTCAGAATGTTACTAGCACGAGAATACCAGTTAAATTGAGAGATGTTATTTGGCTTAGTTTTCAAGGAAAATTATACGTTCGCTCTAATTTGAAATTTAAAAAACTTGAGGAACGAAATTGTCCGAGGGAAGAATGTTCAGGGATGTTAGAAACAATGTCTCATTTTTTGTGTGACTGTCCCTTTAGTTTAGCAATATGGACAGAAATGTCCACACTTCTTAAAATACCAAATTTTAAAGGACAGTCCTATGCTGAATTAGTATATGGAAATTTCAATTGGGCAGATAAGATTAACAAATGCACTTTATATGTAATTTAATTGTATTGTAATATATCATTTATGGCAAGCGAGGTGTTTAAAATCATCAAAACAAATTATTTTAACTACGGACTCTGTGATTAATCGGATAATTAAAGACATAAAAGATGTATATGTAAAAGAACAAACTACAGATTGTTGAGAAAATATAGACATGACATTTTGTTTTTAATTGTATTTTTGTATATGTTTTTGATACATTGAACACTGTTTTGTTATTTGTTGTAAGAATATTTAATAAAAAAATTTCCTCCTATTACTCCGTATAACCCTCCTTATTATCTCCTATTATTTCTTATAATCCATCCTATTGCTTCATGTACCCTCCCTATAACCCCTCCTATTACTCCATATTACCCTCCCTATAACCCCTCCTATTACTCCATATAACCCCTCCTATTACTCCATATTACCCTCCCTATTACTCATCTTATAGTTCCATATAACCACTCCATATTAATCCTCTATTTACTCCGTATAACCCTCTTTATTACGCCATGTTACCTCCATATAACCCCAAATATCTCCTCCTATTACTCCATATAATCTTCCTTACAACACCTATTACTTCATGTAACCTCCCTATAACTCCTTATGTATCACTCCCTATAACTCATCTTATTACTCCGTATTACCCCCCTTATTACCCTTCGTATAACTCCAAATATCTACTTCTATTATTCCTTATAACCCTCCCTATAACCCATCCTATTGCTTCATGTAACCCTCCCTATAACTCCTCCTATTACTCCGTATAACCCTCCCTATAACTCCTCCTATTACTCCATGTAACTCCTCCTATAACTCCCCCTATTACTCCATATAACTCTCCCTATAACTCCCTCTTATTACTCCATATAACCCTCCCTATAACTCCCCCTATTACTCCATATAACCCTCCCTATAACTCCTCCTATTACTCCATATAACCTCCCTACAACTCCTCCTATTTCTCCATATAACCCTCCCTATAACTCCCTCTTATTACTCCTTATAACCTCCCTATAACTCCTCCTATTACTCCATATAACCCTCCCTATAACTCCTCCTATTACTCCATATAACCTCCCTATAACTCCCTCTTATTACTCCATATAACCCTCCCTATAACCCCTCCTATTACTCCATATAACCTCCCTATAACCCCTCCTATTACTCCATATAACCCTCCCTATAACTCCTCCTATTACTCCATATAACTCCTCCTATTACTCCATATAACCCTCCCTATAACCTCTCCTATTACTCCATATTACCCTCCCTATAACCCCTCCTATTACTCCATATAACCCTCCCTATAACTCCTCCTATTACTCCATATAACCCTCCCTATAACTCCTCCTATTACTCGATATTACCCTCCCTATAACTCCTCCTATTACTCCGTATAACCCTCCTTATTACCCTCCGTATAACTCCAAATATCTCCTATTATTTCTTATAACCCATCCTATTGCTTCATGTACCCTCCTTATAACTCCTCCTATTACTCCATATAACCCTCCATATAACTCCTCCTATTACTCCATATAACCCTCCCTATAACTCCTCCTATTACTCCATATAACCCTCCCTATAACCCCTCCTGTTACTCCGTATAACACTCCCTATAACTCCTCCTATTACTCCATATAACCCTCCCTATAACCCCTCCTGTTACTCCGTATAACACTCCCTATAACTCCGTATAACCCTCCCTATAACCCCTCCTATTACTCCATATAACCCTCCCTATAACTCCTACTATTACTCCATATAACCCTCCCTATAACTCCTCCTATTACTCCATATAATCTTCCCTATAACTCCTCCTATTACTCCATATAACCTTCCCTATAACTCCTCCTATTACTCCATATAACCCTCCCTATAACTCCTCCTATTATTCCATTTAACCTCCCTATAATGCATCCTAATACTCTGTATAACCTTTCCTTTTATTGTTTGTATATCCTCTTATTGCAGTAAAATATAAACCACACATATCCATGAAACTAATGTGTTTATTGGTGTTGCAATTAAATTATCATTTTAAATAAGATACAGATTCATAGATCCCCAATTCTCTCTTTGCTTCTTCTTGGAGGAGAACATCAAAGGAATCTATGGGAGGAAACTGGATTTATCAGAGGAGGCACAGGGGTGTGGAGACAAATGAAAAGGGTAAGAGATCTGGCAGACTGGATAAAGTGGCATAGAGCAACCCAGGGCAGTTCATTTATAATTTTAATCCATTAGTAATGTACAGTAAAGATCTTCATGCAATTTGTACCCCAGCATGGCATGGCCAATGCTGCATTCAGAGTCATAGAATGGAGCTTCAGACTCTCCAAAACTGATCTGTGGACAACCATATTGAGCGGGTTTAGGAGATTCAGAAAATGCAACAGTACAAGAAGATAAGTCAGTTTGTGTCCTTTATTTTAGAGCAGAGAGCTGGTAATCTGAATAAAGAGGTTCGAGGTCAGGGGGATTATATTCCTAGTAACATACTGTATTCTGGGGCAGGGGGATTATATTCCTAGTAACATCCTGTATTCTGGGGCAGGGGGATAATATATTCCTAGTAACATCCTGTATTCTGGAGCAGTGGGATTATATTCCAAGCAACATCCTGTATTCTGGAGCAGGGGGATAATATTCCTAGTAACATACTGTATTCTGGAGCAGTGGGGATTATATTCCTACTAACATACTGTATTCTGGAGCAGGGGGATAATATTCCTAGTAACATCCTGTATTCTGGAGCAGGGAGGATTATATTCCTAGTAACATCCTGTATTCTGGAGCAGTGGGATTATATTCCTAGTAACATACTGTATTCTGGAGCAGTGGGATTATATTCCTACTAACATCCTGTATTCTGGAGCAGGGGGATTATATTCCTAGTAACATCCTGTATTCTGGAGCAGGGGGATTATATTCCTAGTAACATCCTGTATTCTGGAGCAGTGGGATTATATTCCTAGTAACATCCTGTATTCTGGAGCAGTGGGATTATATTCCTAGTAACATACTGTATTTTGGAGCAGGGGGATTATATTCCTAGTAACATCCTGTATTCTGGAGCAGGGGGATTATATTCCTAGTAACATACTGTATTCTGGAGCAGGGGTATTATATTCCTACTAACATACTGTATTCTGGAGCAGTGGGATTATATTCCTAGTAACATACTGTATTCTGGGGCAGGGGGATTATATTCCTAGTAACATCCTGTATTCTGGAGCAGGGGGATAATATTCCTAGTAACATCCTGTATTCTGGAGCAGGGGAGTTATATTCCTAGTAACATCCTGTATTCTGGAGCAGGGGGATTATATTCCTAGTAACATCCTGTATTCTGGAGCAGTGGGATTATATTCCTAC